ATTTTGGGACACGGTGGATTTATAAACTATTGCTGGCAACAAATCCAACATCTTTATGCCTGGTTCCTATCTTGGTTTGGTTTTGGTCGCCAGAATCGCGGATAACATTTTCATTGAACTACAGAACTTGACGAGTAGATACAGGTACAGATGTTTTCATTTAGAACCAATCTGTCCAATGGTTATCCCATATTGAAGGTTAATGTGAAACGTTAATTTATAATCTTGAAAATAAATACATAGACAAAGGAAATGTTTTATTGCATATTTTTATTCATAAGAATGTTTACCTTAGATAAATTTTATCTAAAACTTTTTGGAATTGGATATATTTTCCATATCCACTTTCTTGCAATTTTTGTTAGTATCACGTGACAACCCTTGAACTTTTGACTGCGCGCAGTTTTAGGTAGTCGACGACCCTTCTTTCAACATCTGACACTTTTCTTTTCTCAGACAAATGTGATTTCAAATAAAACGTTGATGGGATGCGGCTAGTATAATCGACATGTGTACAGGTTGTTGAAATGTTATAGTGGGATATACCGTAATTAACCCCTGTGGTTTTTGTTTATATTATGTTAAAGCTGTTAAAGTAAGACATATCAAACAACAACAAATCCAATATTCCCTAAAATAACAACGACTAGTAAGAAACCAATTATAAATTTTAACAAACATAAGTACATGTGCATAAGTAGTCCGAAACATTTTCCTCGTTCCAGCCTCTGATAAATATCTTGACAGTTATCGGCTGGATTAGTCAGAAAAACTATGTCCTGTTTTATGGGGTTTTTACTGCGAGAGTAACTCGCGTCCGAAGATGCGTTTTTTTCTAACATAACATTAAACTAGCTATACGATTACTGTAAATTAGTGCTGGGCATCACCGTGACTTTCGTTTTGATTGTATTAAGTGACACTGTGACCCTTGACATTCGGCTGTGCACGCAGTTTTAATAAGCCTTCAAGAGATCAGTTTCGTTCCAATAAACAGGAAAAACAGGGGGATTATGGTGGTATGAATGAACTACAAAAATATCCATCTTTCACAATATATCTGAGTTTGGTGGATCTTATCTAAATATATAAGTTTAAAACCCCGCACCGATGGAGGTACGGAAAATTCTCTCAAAACAGTTCCTAGTTGTTCTGTCTGTACACCAGTTGACATCTTTCAAAATAGTTGTTTCGGTCGAGTACATTAGGTGGGCAATTTCGATGCAAACAGGGTAATTTTGCTGAGTCAGTTCAATTAGAATACCCAACCTCACTCGATTTCATTATGATATTTTCTACGAAGGTGGAGGTAGGATTCATTAAGAATCAAGACCAGCATTAGAATTTTAGCTCATCCCTTATCCTAATGATTTAAGAATTGCCAAACGAAATCAATGTGAACATCATAACAAAAGAAATGTTTTTCAAGGACAATAAAGATTTGTTTCTGGCTGTCAAATAAAATAGGGGTGTTCAACCAAATATCTATGTTTCCGTTGATATCTCTGTTTGGCTGGTATAGAAAATTTCAGGGACATATTGGATGACTTACTGACGGACTACATAACTCAGAATAAGACCTACTGGTGATCTGACGCACTACATAACCTTGAATAAAACCTTTTGATGACCTACTAACCAATACTACATAACCCCGAATAAGATCGATTGATGACCTACTGACCGACTACATAACCCAGAATAAGAACTATTGATGGCCTACTGACCGACAACGTAACCCAGAATAATAACTATTGGTGACCTACTGACCGACTACATAACCTGAAAAAAACCTATCGATGACCTACTGACCGACTACATAACCCAGAATAAGATCTATTGATGACCTACTGACCGACACTACATAACTCAGAATAAGATCTATTGAGGACCTATTGACCGACTACATAACTCAGAATAAGACCTATTGATGACCTACTGACCGACTACATAACCCAGAATAAGAACTATTGATGACCTACTGACCGACACTACATAACCCTGAATAAAACCTATCGATGACCTACTGGCCGACAATACATAACCCAGAATGCGATCTATTGATGACCTACTGACCGACGACATCACCAAGAATAAGACCTATTGATGACTTAGTGAACGGATACATAAAGAAGTATTTGAGGACCAATTCACCTACATAAACAACGATAAATACCTATTGGATCTACCCTGATCTACCCCAACCTGGTATAAGAACTTTTGATGACCTAATAATCGCTAAATGATAAAAGAAGAAGATTTACAGTACGACCACCTGGATGATGCATCTTCTGAAATAAACATGGAATTTAATGTGAAACTTAATTTGTCAGTGACCAAACTAGACAAGTGGCGTCCTGTGGACTAATATGGGTCAGGGAACCTTCCCCAGGATTTTTTCTTCTGCGTTCTGAGTCAAGTTAATGCCTGTTCATGGTAGGTTTAAATATTTTTAGTTTTTAGTCATAATATTGCCCGTAGTAGGGCCCAAGCATCAGTTGTGACCCTTTTTGTATTATGTGTTAACCTTTGGTACTTCGATACATTTTTTTCAAAATTTTGTATTTTCTTGTGAAGGTGGGATCTCATTAAGAATAGGGGCTCGTGGACTTGGTACAACTATGGTAGTTGAGTCACTGTAATTTGCATCATTACTAAATACAAACGCATGTATTCATACAATCATAAATGTGTGCTCTAAAATAAACATGAATAATGAATAAAGCTGACTTTTTTAATTCAAAACCTTCAGTTAATTATTCAACTTTAAAATATTATGTCACCAGTTGACTGGTCGAAATAATCAATCACATTCTTTTTGTGCAAAATTGATTTCTCTATTCAGTTAGGAAAAGAATTCAGAACAATACCGCAATTCCTCTGAAATAACTCAATTCTTAGAAAAGTTATAAATAGGCTTAATACTTGGAATGTTAAAAGTGGTGTGATGATTAGATATATAAAATACAACGCGTTCAATTCTATGTCATATTACAGGTCATACCATAGTCAGATAAATATTATTAAGATTTAATTTGACCGAGGAGATTACTTCAACTGTAAAGTTTCGAAACACGAATACATTTTTCCAAGTGTGTAAAGGGGAAAACGCCTTCAGACCCCCCATGCTACACAATGATACAATGGAATCTCAACCGTGACGGTTGTCCCCCATTATGTCAATTAGTCCCCTATTTGTACCCCAGTTTCACTGCCACTGCCGGAATCACCCGCATATGGATATTTTGGGGCCAAAATTTCTCTAGCACTTAATATTCCACGTTTATGACTCATACCCCCAGAAAACATACAATAAAAGATACAAGTTGCTTTGAACCTATATTGAGGCTCACATTAGACTTATGTGGGTGTATTTTCCGAACGCGTTTTTCACTTACAACTATCGTATATTATTTGCGTATAGGCAATTTGTATACTGAACTAGTTGGAATAGTGTTCACGTGACAGAAATCATGCGCCCTGCGTTTTAAAGGTCCCTTTGCACCCTCAAATGTAGATTTAAAAGATCAAAAAACCTAAAGATACAAAATTGTAACCTAATCACACTTACCATCTTAAAATGTTCGTGAACTTTCTCAATATTTTTAGGACGTTTACATCATATCAGTGAAATAAGATTAAGCAAGAAACTTGGAATGAATGCGTATATTATATGAAATCCAAATATCGAAGGCCATGTTAGTTTGTTATTTTTAAAGACTTTCTTTGGCGTTTGCCGGTGACATTATGCATTTTCTATTGACTGTAAGATCGCAAGTCTGTTGTGACGGGGGTGTCACATAAAGAGGAATATTCGTGGTGTTGTTTATTATACAAAAGCAATTACATGGATTTCATTCTCAGGATATTTATATAATGTAGGCTGAATTATATATGTCAGTTATCTGAAGATCCCATAGCGTGAAACTCTGAGTAAGAACAACATGTTTTTTTAAGCTCTGTTTTAATATTTCTAATATACTAGTAGATGTAAATTTGTGAATACTTACATTATTAACAAATATAATAATAGGCTACACGTTACAATATATCGATAGAGTTAAAAAAAAAAACCCAAAAAAAAAACCAAAAAGGGGGATAAAAATCAAACTATGTTTTTCAAAGATATGGGCAGACGAAGTAGTTTAAACAAGAATTACTCCCTCGTCATTACTTAATGATTACTTAGTGAAATAAGGGGAAACTATTTTATAGTATTAAATGGGGCAGTATGCATGCAAAATTGTCATCATTAAAAACTCCGTATACCTGAAATATTTCCAAAATATGCTATCTATGTATCTACTTGATCAAAGTGAATTTGTTTTAAAAGGGTTAATTAAAAATGAATTGTACTTCTTGGGGCATTCCGTCTTTTTGTAGGTCAGAACCTTTTTGTTTTTAAATTTGTGAAAACTATAAAACACAAATCTAAAGAAATGGGCCCCTTAACTTATCAGAAAGCTTTAACTAAAAAAATCCAGTTGTTAATTTTTGAACCCCAAAACTATTTAAAACGTTTACGTAAACTTTTTAAGTTCGTTACCCTTTTTGGAAGCTGTTAGAAAACTACTGTACGGATTTAAGTCAGATAAACACTTAATTGTAGAGAAATATGTCTCCTACACATTCCGCTAGACTTTGATGTACAATTTTCAACCTACGAAAAAATCCTAATGCTCCTCAACAGAAACGGATATAACAAACTGAGTACACGAGGCCACGTTATTTTTATTGATTGTTTTTATATTGAAGCTGGCATCAGGATCGTTACTAGGGTCTTTTTTATTATAATATGTTGTCTTTCATCACAAGACTTTTGGTAGATCACCTTTACCATTATATATAGACGTCAATTAAACGATGTACTTAGTAGATATAATATTTATATTTTAAAGTTTTCATACATTTTTTTTATTCTTATTTTTTGTCAAATTCTGCATGAGGAATTTATCTCATTTGCCTTCTTGAAGTTACGGCCCTGTATCGTTAGTATTTTACTAGACTCTTTTTGTTCGCCCCATGAAATATTCCCCAATAGTAGTAATCAAATGGGGTAATGAGACTTTAACAATTTCAATGACGCCATCAATTATTTTAGACAAAATACCTGGTTCGTTATTAACAATAGCAGTTTTAATTTCTTGTCTACATTCCTCGTCCGATTTCTTCTCTTTCTTCTGACTTTCTCGGATTTCTTGCTGTATCACCTTTTCTGTAGCCTCGAACATGTCTTGTGTATAAAAGTTACCACTGTTTTGTTCAACTGTTTTCTTAATGAGTGACAGGACATTTTCTACGTCTTGTTGGTGACTACTGTTCTTTTGTCGATTACAAATAAATTCATATCGGTTGTTGACATCTTTCAGTAAGTCTTTTAAAAACCCTGGAGTGTCGGCTATGAATTCCTCAATTCTTGTATCATCATCTTCAAGATGGTCCTTTCTTGTGAACACAACAATAATATGATGCATAGTACCGTCTCCCAACATCTGTTTGAGTATCTCCATAGATTCAATATCTTCTCGTGTAAACCTCTCCACGCTTAATACAAAAATAAATACATGTGGACCGGGTGCTAGTAATCCTATACACTTGATCAACTCTTCAATTGTTTCACCATTAGGTTTAGCTGTATCAAACAGACCTGGTGTATCGACCACCAACAATTTACCAATTGATGTTTGAGCCTCTCCGAATTCACACTGCTGTGATACAGAAGACGCAGATCGGGTAGATTTGAAGATTTTCTTTCCAAGCAAACTATTTCCTAGAGAACTTTTTCCAACACCAGTCTTACCAAGTATTGCAGCTCTCATTTCTAAAAAATAGACATTTAAATCATTAAGATGATATTAATCAATAAACCAAGTGCTAACGATCCGAACCGCAAAACGAAACCCGAAATCCAAATAACATGTTGGCGAAACATTGGTAGCAGCTAATGAACTTTTCATATGAGGAAGTATATCAATCAAAGTGAGTAAGTATTTCATAATGAAAAGTGGTATCAGGTGTCTAGAAGAGTAAGCATCATAATGATTAACATTCACATGTGATGCGAAAAAATAAAGAATCATCCTTGATCTCTAAATTAATGACAAGGGATTTCATTTAATATATCAAATAGTACAATAGGATATGTTCATAGGGTTATTTGACTGCTTCAATCAACAATACAACAACCCTGTATTACACTTTCATCAAGGTTACTTTTATCCCATAATTGCTAGATTTATATTAAAAGGGACAGTGGCTCCATTTTGGGGCTTTGATTCGAGTCTTGAATATATGTTAAAAGTCTTCAGAAGTACTGGAAATGTACGAAAATCGCATATTTCCTTTAAAAAGTATGATTGGTTAAAAAGATGGCGCATCTGTCCCTTTAAGCATCCTCCCTCTAATAGGACTCGTTGACTTCGTATATTTATGTACGTTTTGTTAACGGTTTGTAAAAGTAATATCATAATACTGGTTCCACAGCCTGATTAAAATGTACAAAATTAGTTACCGGTGGCCATCGTGGTGTATTTTGTATGTCTTTTTGTAGATTCACCAAATGTTACTGAACTACGTTCGAGATCTAAAACAAAACAAAAGATAGTTTATTCATTTGTACTTTCAAGGCCAAATATCACCGAAAACATCACAATAGTATAATACACATTTTACTGTAACAAGGTAATATAATTAACTATAAATGTAGTGAACCATTTAGTTAATGCCAATAAATAAAAATAAATTAAAATAAGATGTTTCTTATGAGCCTGTGCTAGTAAACCCTGAAATATAATTCAAAATTCAATTTCATATTACTTTTTTTAAATACAATAGTAGATAAAACTACTAACATTCCCTTGATAAAGCAAGAGTTTTATAACTTGAACAACTTGTTCAAAATCATTCTCGTGGGAAAACAAACCCGGTATTTCCATTATTAGTTAGTTTATTTGTAAGAATGCTATTTGATTATAAACTTGTCGTTCAAAATCATTCTCGAGGAATAATAACTTCGGGTATTTCCATTTTTATTTCGAGTTAGTTGATAGACTAGTTAATCTTGTCGGTTTATTGCATAATTTGAACTTGTATTATAAACTTTTTCAAAATCATTCTCGTTACTATTACAGTTAGTTGATAGCCCACTTAACCTTGAAATCTAATCTATAAGTGTTCAGGCGATGAGTCGATGTAAAAAATAACAAACTAAAACTCTACATTTATTCGATGGAAGACGATACAGAATGAGTTAAAAATCTATACATGACGATGTTGAGTGGAAGCGTGCTTGATCAATATTGACCTTCACCCAGAAGGCGGAAGTGTCAGAAGTTGCGCACAAGGTTCAATGGAAGCTGTTCGGTGCCTTCGAACCACCGTTTTTTCCACGACCCGACATTCTGAACATATCCCCCTCCTTGATGTGACCAACATCAAACACAAAACACAATACAAATAAATTTACGATAAATTCATTACTAATGTCCTACGAATATATCACAGCTGATTCGAATTATTTATCACTCCTATACGAACTTCATTGAAACACAAAGTTGATTTAACTATATCACATGATTCAAACTTTAACACAGATATTAACACAAAACATTTTTTTCTTTTTTTTTATAAATGTATAACTAATATTACACATCCAGAGGACACAGATGACTGAGTGATCTTTTATAGACCTTATCGCCCACTTTAATATCCACTACACGTACATGGTCGTCGGAACCACGATAAATTTTCACAATTCGACCTAAGGGCCACTTTCCTCGTGGGTTTGTATGGTGCACAACAATAGCAATATCTCCTTCCACGAAGTCTCGGTGGACGCGATTCCATTTTTTCCTGGAATTTAACAGAGGTAACAATTCCCACATCCAGCGCTTCCAAAATTGGCTTATAACTTCCTGTACGTGTCTCCAACGTTTGCGTGGGTTAAATGTCACTACATCTACTGATTCGGGTGCAAGTTGTCCATTGGTTTGACCAAAAATGAAGTTGTTTGGAGTCAAAACTGGATCGTCCTGGGGATCGTCGCCTTGGTAACACAAAGGGCGTGTGTTTATGAGTCCTTCGGCCTTAGTGAACGCTGTCAGTAGTTCCTCGTCAGTGACATCAGCAGTACCTATTATAGCCCTAATTGCCCTCTTAGCCGACTTTATCATAGCCTCAAAAACACCCCCAAAATGAGGCGAAAGCGGAGGATTAAAATTCCATTTAATTTTGGAATTAGCCAATGAATCATTAATTTTTGAATGATCTAAAGCGTGCAGTAAATCTTTTAATTCACGTTCCGCGCCAACAAAATTGGTTCCGTTATCCGACAAGACACTGACAGGTTTTCCACGACGATTGGAAAATCTAGAAAATGCGCATTGAAATGACTCCGTATGTAAAAAGACACAAGTACCGGTTTGCCCGAGATTTCCCTCTCCCCTGTTTTGTAAGGAATGGTCCGGCGTAGTCGACGCTTACCCTCGAGAAGGCACGTAAAGGCGATCCTAAGCGATATTCTGGAAGTGGTGCCATGACCTGCGCTGCAGGTTTTCTTCGACGACGGCGGCATTCCGTACAGTGTGATTTAACGGATTTGACCAGATTACGGCCACCAACTTTCAAAACTTGGAGCGTAACATTGACAAAAGGTGTGAAACTCCGATATCACGATCATTTTTGTCATGATACGAAGAAACGATGTGACGCTATATAACGTAATTACTAGGCAAAATAATAGGGAATTTTGCGTCGTATTCTATTTGTTTAGCGTTTCCGATTCGACCACCAACACGAAGCAGTCCTTGTTCATCTAAATACGGATTTCACGACAACAATTTCGAGTTACTTTTGAAAGGAGCTGCCTTTCGAATACAATCGATTTCATTTGCGAATATTTTGTTTTGAGCGAATTTAATCCAAAAGAAATTCGAATTTTGCAATTCTTCAACACTTAGAGTTGAGCTTGACACTCTAGTATTTGGCTTCCGGGTATTGGATATAAACCGTAACGCTCAAGCGGTTACTCTCACAAGCCTTGTCCAATTTGAGAAACGCGAAGGATCTGATCTCCCCAAATCTTTATCTGTGACAAGAAATGTCTCACATATTTTAGAACGAACCTCCCAAATAGCGACTTCTTCCGGTTCCGGTATAATACGTTCGGGCCATTCAGACGATTTGGCCGCTAAGAATTCGGGTCCTGACCACCACATGTCGCAACGGGCCAATTCGATGACCGACATACCACCAGTTGCCAGATCGGCACTGTTTTGCTTTGTTGGGACATGGCGCCATTAATAGGTTCCGTTAATTCATGGATTTCTCCGAATCGATGAGAAACAAACGGTTTATAAGAGCGCGATTCGCCCTTTATCCAATACAGAACATTTTGACCAAAATGTAAACGATTCTTTAGGTATGCTTAAAACCTCGCGTACTGTGACCGACAAACGAACACCTAGGACAGCACCACACAATTCCAGTTTGGGTATCGACACTGCCTTTAAAAGAGCAACGCGAGTTTTTGCAACGACTAAAGCATTCCAAACCGATCCATCGCGGTATTCACCGCGAATATAGCAACACGCCGCATATGCCTTTTCTGAAGCGTCTACGAACACGTGATCAATTTGTGATCAAACAACGCGGAATAGCAATGTGAAATAACAATGATAATTCACTGAACCATAAACGCCACTGTTGAGCGAGATCGTCTGGGAGTTCGTCATCCCAATTGATTCCACGAATCCAGGTTTTCTGAATTTGGCACGAATTGTAAACGGCCCGATAAGAGTTAACGGATCAAACAGGCTAGCGGTTTTGCTTATTACAACACGTTTAGTAAGTCTATCAAACGTTGGTTTGGTGTACTCAAACGTAAACAAATCGTTTTCGGCTTTCCAAAGGATACCAAGTGTTTTTACTGAGTGAAGATTTCCGTCATCCAACGATAATTTATTTAAACGATCAGATATAGAAATATCGGACAGAACTTCCGGTCGACTCGATAACCATTTCCTAATTTCAAATCCTGCACCTGACAGCAGTGAAGCAAGTTCACGGCGTAGTTTCCGATACGGTGTCGACGCTATCCAACAAATCGTCGACATACATTGAGTCTTAAACGGAATGAGCTGCTAGTGGATACTCATTGAGATTTCGCTTACAAGTTCGCGGAGAACCGTTTGCGACAGAAATGGCGAGGAAGAATTTCCAAACACAAGTCATGTCGCGCCATAGAATTCTATGATATTGGCCACCGTTCTCTTTTAGCTTTATTTGCAAAAAAATTTCCGAAATTTCAGACGCGAGTGCAATAGGCTTATTTCGAAATCGTAAGAGGACATCAAGAAGTTCACGCTGTAGCTTAGGTCCAGGATTAATACAATCATTTAAGGACAAACCGTTTGAACGCGCAGCCGCAACAAGCGGACTTTAGAAGTAGATTTATCCATTCGTACAACCGCAAAATGAGGAAGGTACCAAGATGGCAAAGAAGGAGTCCGTACCTCGGTTATGTAGCCTTTAGCTATATGTGGTCTGATAATTTCCGAATACTGCGAAGATACTTCCGGTCGTTTACTCAAAGAGCGCTCAAGGCTCAATAGCCGCCTTTCCGCGTTATCATAATTAGAAATAAAGAGATCTTGATTAGATTTCCAGAGAACACCGACAGTATACCGTTTCTCGACAGGATCATAGGTTAAAGTATCCTTGGCAGACTTAACCGCTTCTAACTCCGACTTAGAGTAATTCAAAGAACCAGATTGAATTCCAGCGGTTTCCACGATTGGCGCAGCAATGAGTCTACATCGGGTTCTGTTTTGACAAAAATAAGCAAAATGAGCAAAGTTACTAGCGATTGAACAATAACGATCTGCCGGTCCGATACACGTCCAACCCAATGGAGTTAAACGCGCAACTGGTTCCCCAGGCAAGCCAGCTATCTCTGTGATAGCACGATGTACCCGTTACATTTTTGACAGTGAATGCGGAAAATGGAATGCAAACTTTGCGATCGAGACTGCATAGTTCTGCAGATACCAAAGTTGAATTTAAACATGACGATTTTCCGCCAAGAACGCAGACATCTAAATCTCCGATTTCGCCTTGGAGGTCGAGATGGGCAGCTATATGCTCATTGATATAACTGTCCGTCGAACAATCGTCTAAAAGGGCATTACAACGAATTGATCTATTATATTTACAAATAATAATTGGTACTACTCGCATCACAAGGGAAGATCTGTGTGTAATCTGCGTATGAGTTTGCTTTTGCGGTGGAAGTTCACCACGAACGGTCGGTGGCAGAATGGAACATTCACTTAAAGGATTCGAACGCAGACCTTCATTACTTTGAACGTTACCAGATCCCCCGCCGTGGAGTAGGTGCTAGGTGCGTTCGAGTACATTCACCTATAGAGCACTGTTGTGCAGCTGTACAGCGATTACCAATATGGCTATTACCTAAACATCGAAAGCATAGGCGCTTTTCTTTTGCAAGCCTCCATCGTTGTGAAACCGCAAGGGATCTAAAATAGGGTCAGTTACACCCTGAGCATGATCATGATGACACACAACGCATGATTTCGAATCTATTATAGAATTTGTAGCATACGTTTTTGAATATTTATCACTGCGAAAACGAGATCTTTGATAGTTCGATGCTGTCTTTGAATCATTTGAAGTTGTCGCAAAACCCTCAATTTCTTCGTTGGATTCAATTCTATAACGGACTTCATGTGCAAGCCATTCATGTAGGGTTACAAGAGACTCGTTCTTCTTAGTGCTAGCTGCCCAACGTTTGAATTGCAAAAGAGATGATGTTGTAAGTTTGGACCTAGTGACACTAAAGAACATCGAGTCTACTTCGAATTCCTCGGTGCGACCATTTTCTTGCAATGACAGAATACATAGTTCAAGTTCATCAACGAATTCTTCAAAACGTTTTAAATCGTTGAAGCTTACCGGCTTCATCATTCGAATGGTGTCTAAGTGGATAAGAGTTTGACGACGTTGTCCGCCAAATTTATCATGCAAACGTTTGAGTCCAGAATCATAGCCCAATTCAGATGCCGGGAACCCTTCTATGCATTTCAAAGCGTCACCAGTTAAGTGCTGACGTAACTGAAGCATTTTATATGCCTTTGAGCAAGACGATTTGTCAATACACTCCATGAATGCATCTTTGAATACCTGATATTCACGTTTGTTACCATTAAATTTGTTGATGGAAACCTTACTGAGTTGTTGATGCAAGTCTCGATCAATCTGGCTGAAATTTGACGGTTATTGAACACTTGAATTACCATTACCACTATGTAGGCTGATACCAGAATTACCATTAGAGGACTCTTCCTGTGCGTTTTGTGCCTGTTGTAGATTAGCAAATCGATGTGATGCAATGTGAGAAGAACCACTTGATACATGAACCAGCCAGTCTGTAGCTTTATTCTTGTAAATATATCTTGACAGATTTATAATAATAGTCTCAGATTTGTTTTTCATAATACTTTCAAATTTATAAATTGAAGGCCAACTCCAACAATATCTTGGGAGGTACTTTATTCTTATAACTCTATAAGCTGAACAGCATAGTAAAAAATGAAATTCATTTTCTACCATATTGGTATTACAACAGTCGCAGATTCTTTTGATTTTTAAATATGGACCAACTTCAATTTTTAGTTTCATGGTTCCCGATCTAAATTTACACATAATATTTCTAAATTTCCTATTTGTAATAACATTTAAATATGCAGCACGTTCATAACCTTCGTAATAAGAAATGTATGATTTCAGTTTTATTGACACACTAATTTTTGAATACCAGTTTTGAATATATTGATCACGTATTCTTTTATGTATTGCTGTGAAGTTAAATGATTCTAGATTATATTGGCTTTCCCACATATAAGATAGACCTAAGTTTTGTTAACAACTTCGAACGTTAGAAACCCAGTTTTTAAAACCTCTATCAGAATCATGTTTCAGATGTTGGTATAAATCATATAAAATACCTTTTTTCTTTGAAACTATTTTTATCTAAATTTCAATATGCTTTGGGTTTGAATAACCCATAATGGGAATCGTTCTATTTAAGGATTTAATGTAGATATTTTTGCGTTTATTAATGCAAGATTTAGCACGTGACAATTCGATGTCTGAATTAACCTTGCACTATTTTATTTGTGCGGTTGTGTATTCATACGTCATCGTCAGCCTAGCAACGTAGGTGTGGGGCATAAAGTTTTGTGTAGCATCACATCAAACCAAGTACAACCCACAGGAAGTCGTCCTCTCCAGATTGCTACTCATTGCTCTTTACATGTCACTTGTCTCCTGTCCTTCATCATAGCTGGCTGGTCATCATCTCTCTCTCTTCATGTATTTATAATAAAATTTATATGGTACATCAGCAGTTGTTGGTGGCCTCATTGATTATAATAGTGTTGCTGTTTTTTCCCAGTTTTATGACAATAATGAAACTTTTAACTTTATTATGGCAATAATTTTATCCTTAAAAGTACGATGATAGATTCCTGAACTAGATTCCTGAACACTACCGAATGTAGCCTAAATATAAGGATTGAATGTGTATTTTTTTGCGTTCATTGGTTGAAAAAAAAACCAATCAACAACAAGAAACAACAACAACAAACAAAACGACCTCGTCTTGTTTGAATCTCACAAGCCAAAAATAAAAAAATTAATTTAATTTAAAAAGAAAGAGCAGAAGATGAATCTACAGGCGGACGGACCGACAGATGGAATTTGTGACGACAGCATACGTTCAAACATGTGGGCGTATAAGAATTTTAATGAATTTTTATTTTCATATCTAATTTATCTCTGATATTCAACGATTCAAAGTACAGATGATATTTTAATAAATCATTCACTTTTCACAAAATCATTCTCCGAGATTAACTTTCTCGGTATTTACATTATTATTCTTAGTTAGTTGATAGGCTACTAAACCTTGACGTTTAATATTGCTATTTGTATTATAAAATTCTCGGGGAATGGCTTTCACGGTATTTCCATTATCCGATATATCTATTTACAAAAGCAAAAATATGACTCACACTGCATTTTCACAAAGATAGAAGCCAAAATGAATGATTGTCACTAATTTACGGAGCCCCTAAGGCGCAATTGTAAACATATTTATTTATTATTTCGTTTAAACGAAATAATTAATTCGTTTAAACGAAATAACATCATTTATTTCGTTTAAACGAAATAATATTTCAATTATTTCGTTTAAACGAAATAGACGAAAAAATTAATTCGTTTAAACGAATTAATTAATTCGTTTATACGAAATAAATTATTATAATAATAATAAAAAGTGTTGAAAATTGCGCTTAAGGGGCTCCGCACTAATTCATTTGATAAGATAACAGAGTTAAAAAATTGAATCATAGGACACATCAAAATTGTGGTTTGTGTGGTCAAAGGAGAAAGGAAGAGGGTTGTAGTCACTGTCAAACGTGAATGACAGGTTAATTATTGTTAATCACTATATTTTCAAATTGTCTAAAAGACACCTTGGGTTCCACTTTAAGGGCACTTGTTTCCCACATTGAAAACAGGGCATTAAAATAACCTTTTGAAAAATGATTTCTTTTGTTTCGGCGTACTCTTCACATCTGATTGTGTCATGCCTAAACTTGATTGTACAGCATTCATATAGCTATCAACATCCAGTTTCGCAGAGTCTTTACGACGTCTTTCTTCTTTTTCAATAGCAGTCCAATCTACATGGTCTACATCAAATACAGCAGGGATATTATTATATTTCTCACTGCAGATTTTTGTCCGAATCTCCTCCACCACTTCTTGTTTTCTATCTTTGCAATCGAGTATAAAATAAGGAAGCTGTGGTAGACATCTTGGAAACTGAAATTCATCATCTTCTAAGGAATCTTTTCCAGTGAAAACTATAATCAAATTTTTAATAACATTTTCTCCAAACAGTTTCTTTATAAACTCTAATGACTCTTTTTCATCGCCTGAAAATCTTTCGTCAGCACTCAGAACCAAAATATAGATATGTATCAACAATCTATTTACTTTTATAGTGTTCATAATTTCTTTAGCGACGTCCACATCTGACCGGAGCGTTGAGAAAAATCCAGGAGTATCCATTACTACCATGTGGTCTGTTAGCTCGATATGGCATTCCTTGGTTCTTCTCTCTTCCATTATACTTGTCTTGAACTTCTTGGCTCCCAGCAAATAATTACCAAGCGAACTTTTACCAATTCCACTCTTACCAAGTAAAATAATATGTCTTGTGTCATTTATTGTTGGCTTGGCTGCAGCGTCTGTCTCCATTATTTCTGGAATAAAAATATCACACTGAAATAAAATTACTGGTAAGAATACATCCATATTCTGTTGGACCGATAACTAACTTAAGTGTATTTTAAGATATAATTATGCCAACGCCTTCACAATAAACTTTTAGAAAAGTACGTTTGTTTTGCAATCGAGAATGCTCAAGTAAATCAATAAACGTCATGCTGACAAGATTTCATCCAAATTCAAGCAATTGGAAAACTTTTTTTGTATTCAATAACCAATAGAAACCCCCTTCCCCTTATTATTATTATCATTTTTATTAGTGAGTTCTTCAATAATTTCATTACCTGCCAAAGCAACTGGGTTGGGTTTCCTGAAAAAAAGAAACATACATATGTGAAGCACAAATTTTGTGAGTAGACAGAAACATTTGCCCCTATTCCAGCCTCTGCTAGCTATTTGAACAGTAAGTTGTCGACTGGCGTAGAGATAGAAAAACTAGGCCTTGTTTTGTGGGGTTTTTACCCACCTCCGAAGGTGTCGGGTTTTAAACCTATTTATTTGAATCAGATCCTCAAATATTAGATATATTCGGAGAAAATTAAGACTGCGTGCGAATCAGTTCAAAAGTTCAAGGTCACAGGGTCAAGCGATACTAGAAAAACGAAAGGAACAGTCATGCCCACCACAAATTGACAGTCATTGCGGCGATGGTTACTTTGTCTTATTTCACTCAACACCCTTTATTATACAGTTTAGCACAGGCTCAGCCCGCTAGTAAATAGTTACTTACTCAATTATGCACTTTTCCAGCTCCAGATGACGATGTCTATTCATTTCATAGTGCATTGTTATAGCGTGAATCAATAAGTTGAACTGGGTATTATCATTAAACCCTTTACTGCAGACATGAACTGGTGTTTGTTGTTTCAGAAGCTTGGCAAATTGGTTATATTTCTGTACATATTCAGGTAGAGTCTGTACAGTTGTGTCGAGCTCATCAATTCCAGAAAAAAGTATGAAGAAATGGTTACTGTAAAATTCCATCTTCTCTGTCATAGTCTGTAGTATTTCAACATCACTTGATGTCAGACACTGACGTACACTTTGAACATATATAATAATGTGGGGACCAGGTGCTAGTAATTCCATTCCTCTGTCTATTTCTTTCTGAGTTTCCTCTTCTGTCAGGTGACTATTACAATAACCTGGTGTATCAACTATAACTAATACTCTGCCATCTTCTAGTGTACGGCTTGCTAACTGACTCTGTTTTGTTTTTGTTATACAAGTTTTGCTAACTTGAAATACTTTTTGTCCAAGTAACAGGTTTCCGACCGAGCTCTTCCCACTGCCGGACTTGCCCATCAATAGAATCCTTATTTCACTGTGATGATCCATACTTGCCATACTGAAATAGGTGGGTACGAATTTAGAACAATTCTCTGAGTTTTGAATCTGGATCATTTTTGCCAGGACCTCTGTATCTATCTTAATTGGATAGCCGTCTAAATATTTGGTTTATCAGCTGAACCCAAGAATAGCTAGCAATAGAACTGTAAATATTGAAAATCTAACTCAAAAGTTTAACCTTAGAAGGAAATTAGATAGAGGGGTATCTAGAAAATACCTGAGGTTGTGGTCGAATGAGTGGTTTCGCCGAAACCCCTTGAAGCTGGTGGTCTGAGGACCCTCAGAAGCCAACGAATTTCAGATGGCTTGAGATGAATTTTGAGCATTCAGAGGGCTTAATTTTCATTTCAAAATGGCTTAATGGCCCACCCCCTAAATATGCCACTGAATTTAGACATGAAACAGGATTAAGGAGAAGGAAAGCTTAATAATACTAATGAAGCATCATTGGACATAATAAATTTCCTCAGATGATCACGAAACAAAATTTGGACTTCGTTGTGACTAATGTGTAAAAGTTTATTTTTTATGAACCGGTCAGAACTTCGCACTCACAGATTCGGTTCAACTTTTCCCAGCAATAAGATTCGGTTCAAATCGACCCAATATAATATGTATATAAAATATAATATTTCTTTCTTTTTAATTAACGTTTGATTTGCCTCGAATATACATGCTGGGACACGAATCTTAATATTAATTCAGCGCGGTCCTTCATTGCTAGCAATATCTAAAGGCCTCTTTCTACGAAGAGAATTTGCATATATGCAAATTTGCTAGCATAATGCAAATGTACTCAAGTGTGCAAAAGTATGTTTGCTGTGCATTCAAATTGTCCATAGCCATTGAAAGGATCAAACTAGAAAGTTTCCTCTAGCACATAAAGTTTCCATATTTCCCGAGTGTATCTCTTTTTTACAGTATGTTGAAGAGAAAAAGACTCAAGGAAACTACGTATGGTTCTAATATGAAAAAACACACGGGCTAACGTAGTTCACAGCCATTTTGAATCTCTACCTCGACTTAATAAGTAGAGCCTATAGTATTCAACAAAGCCTTCATATCACATTTAATGCCATTTCTAATATGATTTGCAGGCTTAGTTGAAATACTCTTCCCATGTTAGAACCGTAAGTATTATGAGAAACACTGGCTAGAAAACCTCCGAATGAGGAAGAAGGAAAAATTGAATTTTACTAGCAAATGACTTGAAAATGAACTATGTAAAATCTGCACATAAGTAAATACGTCCATAAATACAATGAATATATATATATGTAAAAATACATACGTGAGTAAATGTTGCCGTGTAAACAGGGCTTAAATTTGTAATAAGTAAATTTTTAGTTTCAGGTTGAAATGTTATTACCCCGTTACAAAGGACTGCGACCAATTGCGATCTTACGGTGACTAAAATGAACTTGGTCGCCGGCAAACGTCAAGAAAAGGCGAGAAAAAGTCCCTTAAAATTAGTCGCTACTAACCTATGACATATGCGACCATACTGCGATAAGGCGACTTTCTAATAAAATCTAAAATCTTGATGCACTTGTTTTTGTTTGCGTTTATGGAGATGTAACGACTCGATTCCGTGGCGATTATTGGTCTCAGTGGCTTATGCCAAGCTTATATCGACCTTTACATGCCCTGGGCTAATTTTCCGTCGCCGTAACAGCTCAGTAAGGACGCTTTTTTCGTGTGACGGGGCTATAAGATAAAACACCTTACCTTAGTCGTTTGTTAGTTTATATATTGTGTTGTATTAAATTGAGACCAGTTAAAATTGAACCAGGTCTTACTCGCCCACTTATATTCTGGTCCGTCCCTTCCACTAGCTCCTCCCAGTTACACAGCCTCGCTAGATATAAATTAAATCTGCAAGTAAAATCCGCGCGGAGACGATATCGAACGGCTTGCATAACAGGTAATATTCTTTGTTTATAACTTTATAAGTTAACTAATTCTATATATTAATCATAGGTGTTACCTATTTTTTAAAGGGTAAATAATGGACGTAAAACTCAATTTCCAAAGGAAACGAAATTTCAACTTGTACCTTAGTTTCATTTTTTCAATATTGTTCACTTATGTCATTTTTTCAGTGTTTTAAGTATCGGATATCATTCAGCCATTTCTTCTATTTCTACTGTATCGATAATCCCGCACAGAACACCGTACCGTCTATTAGCACCTTAACACATAAATTGCATCTTGATCGTCAGGAAAATGCCATTTTGTTTTTTAAGAATTTTTTTAAACGCATGAACATGTGTAAGCAGTAAAAATACATAATGTTAGTAATAGATGTTTTCCATCGTAAGGAATAATTGTGTAGAAATTCTTATATTGCAAAATATTTCTAACTCAATAGGATCTTTAAAGGGACATATGCGCCATTTTTTTTTTACCAATTTTACAAATCGTACCTGAGCTGAGCCATGCAGTAGTAGTGTTCACAGCCCACCATCATAATTTGGGCGGAATTATCCGCATTTGAAAGTTTGAAAGACGAGTTGTCTTTTCTTGAGACACTGTTATAGAAAAGACAACTATAGAATAGGAAAAGAAATTCCTACTTTGAGATATTTTTGAAAGAATTGCGCGATTTTCGTACAATTCTAGCGCATCCGTTTCTTGTTTAGAGGTTTTCTTTACAATCCCTTTAATATTAATATTGTAGGTTTGGTATATTGTAGTGAAGTAAAAGTAACAAATGATGGCATATGAGGTTAAAAGAGGTAATGATAAAATATTATATTCTATGATATAAGCCATAAAGGTATTTCTGTCCGGTAACATCTCAAAACCCCTACATCCCAATTCCCCTACAGCTTAAAACAACAAAGTACACGGTCCATGACACTGCTAATCTCTAGCCTGTTACCTATTTATACAATGGAACAACCCAAGACGCAGGAATAGATTGTGATAAATATTTACTATATTTTTTAGTTATTGCCCTTGACTTAAGACAAACGAGCCACAATTGTTTGTGGATCCAATAGAGACTACAGTTTTTATCTGATTTTAATTAAATTTGGTGTGATTATTTATCTTACTGAGATTTTAGACACGTTCGAATTCGACAAGAACAGTTAAATTATTGACCTTGCGCTTGAGAAAAATGCGTTTTTGTTTTTGAACACAACAGAGACTACAATTTTATCTGATTTAGCAATATGGTAATGGTGTGATAATTATATAGATGAAATCTTGGTCAAGTTTCATTTTTCTATGGATAATGGATATCTTACACAATTTAAGATATGTGATTTGATAGTTTGGTTCGGTGTATTTGGGTTATTGATATTGATTTAAAAAGATGTTGTGGAAAATCTTCGCATAAATAACTGACAGTAAATATCAATAAATTCAATTCATTATGAAGATCTTTAATATGAGAAAATTTGTATATTCGTCACTAAAGGCTCATTTCTGACAGCTGACAGTAGGCGTATGTTATCTAGCTTGGCTAGCTATCTTTGTAATTTCTAAAAATTGTCATCTCATCATACAGCCTTCTTTCATAACACTTACATTAATGTTTTTCACTTCCTTTAAAGGGCATTCCTCTTTTTTTATAAAACATTTTCATTATCAAAATCGTCGTAAATTATACCGGAAAATATTTCTAAAGTATGCTATTTATATCTTTGTGTGATCAAATTGAATTTGTTTGAAAGGGTTAATTAAAAACTGAGAGTACTAATTGTTAATTAAGCAATTTGACCTAGTTTCGGTGATTGGCTTTATAATGGCTCGTTATATTTAGTTGAAATCTTTAGAAAACGTAGGAGACATATTTCTCTACAATGAGGCGTTTATTTTATTCAAATCCGCACAGTAGTTTTTTAACAGCTTGCAATAAGCATAACGAAGTAAAGTTTTAGCGTTAAAAAATTAATGGCTTGATTTTTTTAGTTAAAACTTTCAAACATGTTATGGGATACATTTCTATAGATTTTGGTTTTCTAGTTTTCACAAAAAGCGGAAAGTTGCCTTAACTTATTTTTCTTGGTCAAATCATGTTTATTGTTTGATTAATTGATGTTTCTAACGAATAATTAAAGTATTCCTGAGTGCTAAGATTGTGTGAGGATGTATAAAATCAAATTTACTGAAATCCGACGGCAAATTCGACAAAATTATAATATTGGCGTATAATATACATCTAGTTTTTAAATTGTTATTTCGTTACATGCTCTGTTGCGATTTGTTAATGTAAAATAGCACACACATTATATTATTAAACAGACATACATGTTGATTGGATAAAGGTGATCTAGTCGTCTCACGTCACGTGATAACTGTATAATTTTATATACAGATATTGGCAATGAATTGTTCACAATTTACTATTGCCAAGTTTACTTCCGCTACTGAAGCTTCAACTTCAACTTCAAATTCAAACGCATACCCAATAAAAAAAAAACGGATCAGAGCATCTAATTCTTTAGCAAATCCATTTTTCTGCTTACATGTGTCCTCAAACTCGAACTCAACACCTCCGTAAGTGCAACGTATGGCTCAGTGAGCGTTTGTTTGTGGGTGACTACGAACAGCTTTACCCCCTTTATGACATCATTACTGTACGGGACTTTCCTCTCCCCTTATGTTCACTTACCTAATACCCATGCCGCGTTTTGAGATTAGGGTGGTTGAAAGGTAACAAGTTACAACAGAAGGCACTGGCATAGGATTAAAGCAATGTTCATGAATGTTAAGGTTAATATGTTAAAATGAAAATTCGTACTCGTAGTTCAAAAATCTAAAAAAACAAAAAAAACAGATACTTTAATTCTTACACTGAAATTATAAATTGATGATTTATTAAATTTTTTTTAAAAATACCAAATAACCATTGAAAGAAAACCAAATGCTAGATGGACTTAATGAAATAAATGATATAAATGAAATTAATGAAATAAAATCAAAACCAACGTTTTATGTTTGAGTTTGTGTTTGAGTTATGCTTACGTACACATGACATTCTAATCGCAGCTTAACAGTTCCTCCATATCACAAGGAAAGCACAATATACTGTGACGCAGTAAATTGTAGTAAATTATATTATGATTGATTTATTTTAGAGTGTTCTTTGGTATTAGTTGGAAAAACTGGTATGGGTAAGAGTAGCTTGGGAAACAGTCTTCTCTGTCATTCCGGTCCTGGTGAAAAACCATTTAAATCAAAAAAATCTGCAGGCTCGATCACCAAACAATGTGAACGAAAAAGAGCTACTTTAGGAGACGGTACTCTTTTAACAATAGTCGATACTCCAGGTTTATTCGACACTTCTGTCCCGAACGGACAAACTATAAATGAAATAATTAAATGTATATCATTAAGTACACCTGGACCCCATGCTATACTATTTGTTTTGAATTTGAGACGATTTACAGAAGAGGAGATCAAAACCGTAGACATTTTGAAGAGACTGTTTGGTACAGAAGCCATGAAATATATCGTCGTTGTGTTTACTGGGAAAGACGAACTTGATGATGTCGAAGACGATGATGACATAAAAACAATTCAAGACTTCGTTAAAAATGGCCCTGATTATCTACGAAAATTCGTAAGAGAATGTAATATGAGGTATGTAGGTATAGCAAACAAACCATCTTCACCAACTCATTGTAGTGACGTTAAAGATGTCATGACTCTCATTTACAAAACGATGGAAGTGAATGGAGACCAGGTATATTCGCAGGAAGCATTCTCGCAATCTGAACGAATAATAAAAGAAGAAATCGAAAGAAGAAAACAGACATCACAAAAATCTGAGAACGAAATTCGTGAGGACATTTTAAACGGTATAGAATCGAACGATGCCAGTATCTTGTATATACTGGGCAATGGGCTGATAGGTTGCATTTCGCATGCTTTAAGCATCCCAGTTACCTTGGGTAGAACTGCTATAAATATGTTAAAGCCGAAAGCTAAATAGACAATCTTATAAAACTGAAGGTCTATGCAATTCGAGTTTCAGATATCTTATCTTATATCATCTCTTGTTTAATATTCAATCAATCAAATCTTCTGTTCAATACATCCTTGATAATTGAATAGTTTGTAAACTATGAATATTAATTTGAAGTCCGTCTTTATACTAATAATGCTCTATTAATTTTGGAAATTTGTGTTAATATAATGTTGTATAGATGTAGATGTAATTTCATTAAGTAAAATAGTTTGAAAATTTCGTTATATTTTGCTTTTTTTATAACTCAATAAGAAGAAATGTTAGCGATATTACTTATATGAACCGAAAGTGTTGCAAAGCTCACAGTCACTGTCATGGGCGTAGGAGAATATTTATCACATATATCATCAAACACAAAAGTTTTGATGTATATCAGCGCAAGTCTTATGTGTAATATTGTATCGTTCATGTTCGTTATACATGTTTACATACTATGGAGTGGGTTCAATCCCGGCATAGGTCGAGATAATACCTTCGGATTTTTCAACCCGGTTTCCACCTGTCAGTGATGCAGGTAAGAGGGGCTGACATGGAAAAAGCGTCTAGTCGCTCGGATGGGACAATAAACCGAGGCCCCGTGTGCTGTAGGCTGTGCACGTTAAAGATCCTTCAGTTGGAAATCGAAAAAGAACAGGCTAATGCCGCTGTCCTGGCAAAATTTCCCTCATGGCACCCTGCATGGCGTTGCCCGTCTTCATTAGCCCACAAGGTTCAGAAGAGTAGGACATAAAACTCCATTCATTTAATTTTTTTTTCATACTATGGAGTAGATACTTAGTTATGTAACAACTATATAGTATAGAAAAACTGCCGCCCAAGACCTAGATAATATATAAAGGGAAATAACTCATATTAATATCATCAGGCCGAGTCCACTGAAAAAATGAATTGAAACGAATGGACATATCGAATTCAGTGCAATTTTTAAAAATCTTCTTTCTCCCTCCCTTTTTGGGGTTTTTGTATGCCTAATTTTGACTTATTGGTCTAGGTTTGGAATTTGATGTCTGAATTACCATTTACCTTCAGATTTTGTGAGATGATGAGAGATTTACATGCGGTAGAAAAATTCTAAAAATATTCATTTTTTGTTCGGTGACAGTCAGGCGGCAATAAACTCTCATCGAAATCTGAAAGAGAATGCAATTTTAGACCATTCGGCAGTTTCGGCAAAGATGGATATGTTTCAGAGCCCTAACGAAACTTTCACGACAAAAAGTCTGATTCCAAATATTAAATTCGAAATATGACCAAAATTAGTCTAAAAAGCATACAAAAACCCAAAGAAGGAGAGCGAAAATATTTCTAAAAATAGCACGGACGAGAGGATTTAAAAAAACGGACTAAATTCGTATACTATAATTTGCATAAAATGTTTTATTAGATTTGGTCCTATAGCCTACAGACCACAAACCAAATTTTTGGTGGTCCATTGCTTATCGCAAATTATGCTTTGTCACATAAGGCCCTTCACAATTAATGATGTCATCAGCAGGAACTTGTGAAAGATGGCTCCACTTCCAGTTACAGACCACAAAACAAATTTTTTCGAAATTTTCAACTCAATTCTAGATGAAGTGAGTTTCATTTTCTTGTGAACTAATCGACAAAATTTGATCTACCACAAAAGTAAACAGACTGTGGTCTCATTGTCAGCCTATTGATGTCACCGTGTTGGAATTTTTGAACATGACCATTCTTGTAAAGGGGCAGGTTCGCCATCCGTATTACCAATGGTACCTTGGTTTCAGAAACGGGAATATATTTTATAAAAGCTATCAGTAATCGTGTCCACAACTCAACCTAGAATGTTCAGAATTACCTGCGTTTGAAAGTTAAAATGACGACTCGTCTTTTTTGAGAATCTGTCAAACATAGAAAAGACGTATAGAAATAGAACAATTTTAAAAGACCCAAATCAACCAACGAAAATGACTACTTATGTGTCACTTTCATCGAGGACTTGAAGGCAATTGAGTATTAAACTCATTTTCATTTTACTAAATTGTAATACGCAATATTTGTAATTAGTCCATCGAACATCGAGTTTTTACCTTAAAATCCTACATTTTGGTGAAATATTGACACCGCTTAAAGGTAACCCACCGTTAAAAATTTGTGTTAAATAAAAAAGTGTGTGGTATAGTATTCAATGATCTGCTGGTATAAAATATTGATTAACAACCATAAGGGCACCATCTGTCCAGTAGGAGACTTTGCACTTCATATATATTAAGAGATCAAATCTAGCATTCGACATTGTATCATCGAGTGCTAACGTTAGGACCATTTATAACCTCGTTCTCCGTAACAACACTGATTCTTATTGATACCGATAAATATTCTAACTTATCATTTAGGAAGGTGAAATCATTAGATGTATTCTGGTTACAATCTTAAGTCAAGTTTTCTAGATATGGATGTAATTTAAGTAATCTGGTTATTGTCTGGCGAGGCGGAGACAAAAGCTCATCAGTTCAAAACCTCAATTATTCTATTCTGCAAATATAAGTGATCACAGCATGGACTTTCTCGACACAACAGTATTCAAAGGACCGGATTTTAATGAAACTAGGAAGGCTGATATTAAAGTATTTTTCAAACCCACTGATACCTACCAACTTTTATTGAAAAGCTCTTTTCATCCTAAACATACATTTTCAGGCATATTAAAATCGCAGGTTTTACGGTTCCGTATAGAATTTGCACCAGAACAGAGGATTTTGATGATGCGTGTCAATTAGTCTTTAAGAAATTGCGAGAGCGGGGATATTCGAAACGATATCTCCGCAGCATTAAAAGCAAAACTCTTTCAGAAATTGAGAATCGGAACACAATCCTCGTTCCGGTAAACTCTCAGATCAAGCTGTAGAACCTGCGAGCATATTTTAACAACCAATTCTTTCTCTAATAAGCATAACGGTAAACAATTCCCTATTAACGGCGAGCTTTCTTGTACCAGCACAAATATTATTTACCTAATTTCATGCGACAAATGTGGTCATTTACAATACGTAGGCGAAACTAAAAACTCTTTGAGAGAAAGAATTAACGGCCATCGTTTCGACATCTCCCATCATCTGGATAAACCTATTGGGAACCATTTCTATGGAGGTCAATTTGCGCCAGTAATCCATTCTCTACCGATTTGTCTAATTCACTGATTCAAAGACAAATGTAAAATATCATATTACCTATTACTTATAATTCAAACAACATAATGATTGAAATGCTAAAATCAAATGTTTATATTCACATGTAACTTAACTAAAGTCCTTTCAAACAGTTTATTTAGCATCTTCCAAAAATCTTTAATGATAAACCACCGTCCTTTTTGATAAATATCAGAAGTATATTTTAAACTGTAAAGTGTCATTTCTAAATTGGAAAATGTTTGTAGTAAAATGATTATGGATGGGGGTCGTAGCCAGAAGTATTTACAAAGTCAAACTTGAAAACAAGGCCTCGACTTTACAAAGTCATATTTCAACATTACACAATTACAAAATAAACCTTCCTAAAATTAAAAAGTCAATGTACTTATTACAAAGTAGAGATATTGATAGTTTACTTTTCAAACTTTATTTCACATCAGACACCATTCAAACTTTCCTTTAAGAAAATGAATTCTTAACTTTGCATTATTGACATTATCAACTATGTCTTCCTGACTTTGCATTCGTGAAAGATGTAAGTTCGACCACTGTATTCTTGAGAGTTATAAAGTCAACTTCTGCATTCTTGAACGTTTACCACATAAGGTAACGTGACCTACCTCATTTACATAATCCGGAAATTCATGGAAACTAACGGAAATATAAATCAATAATTGCCCCTTGTCAAAGGGATTTAATTCTAAATAAGTCTCAAAACCGGATGTTCAAATGCGGCATTTGGTCAATTGACACTTCGTCATTACTTGTATTGTAATTGTTGTAATTAAATCAAAAAACGAAAAATTTGTTATTCATTTCTTATTCAAATGAAACCTCTAAAAAGTCGTGTTATGAATAGAATCATTACATAGTTATCAACATTTGTTTGGCCAGTGACGGATATCCAATATGGATATTGAAAAATGGCCAATTTTTTGCAATGGTCTCCTTTGGAATTATGAATGCAATTGTTGGTGCCATTGAGGTCCTGAGATGCCAATCTAACATGTTAAGGTGTACAATGGGGAGAAATGCTTTTTATTCCTATAATCGCTAAAATATGGCCATTGACGAATATCCAATATGGCGGACTGGCCAGTCAAAGACAAATCCCCTATATGGCCAATTTTTGCACAGTCCATAGTAATGGGGGTGGGGCAGATTTTTGTATGGAATTGGCACAAACTCAATCACATGGTGCCTTCAGACCTGTGAATATCCCTAAAATTCCAACATAATGGTATTTTGATGCCTAACTGTGTCACTGGCCAGTCAATGACGAAGCCTCTACATGGCCAATTTTTGAAATATGGCAACTTTTTTCCTATGGTCTGCTATGGAATTATGAATGATATTTTTGGTGCCAGTGAAGTCCTGAGATGCCAATCTAACATATTTAGGTATACAATGGGGAGAAACGCTCTTTATTCCTATAATTTCTCAAATATGGCCAGTGACGAATATCCAATATGGTATTTCAAGCATTTCTCCCCATCTTATACCTAAATATGTGAGATTGTCATCTCAGGACCTCACTGGCAACAAAAATGTCATTCATAATTCCATAGCAGACCATATTCA